TGGCCATCTGTTGGGGGTGCTTTGATTGTGCTTGTCCTTCATGCTAGAAGAGGGGTGCACTGGATGGCTTCTGGGGTTGCTCATTATTATTATTATTATTATTATATTATTATTATTATTGCTGCAAAAGCTGGATGGCCATCTGTTGGGGGTGCTTTGATTGTGCTTTTCCTGCATGGCAGAAGGAGGTTGCACTGGATGGCCCCTGGGGTTGCTCCTATTACTATAATAATATATTATTATAATATATACATATTTCTTGGGGCTCCACGATAAACTTTTGCATCAGAAAGAGCTCCGCAGCCGAAATAGTTTGAGAACCCCTGTTCTAGATCCAGGGAAGTCCTAATCCCACTCTCTTCCGCTTTGCTCAGGCCTCACCTGGAATATCCCTGTCTAGTTCTGGACAAAGCAATTCAAGCAGGAGTTGGAAAAGATGGAAAATGTCCAGAGAAGGGCGCCCAAAGAAGCAGCTGAGGGGGCTGGGGGTGTTCAGCTTGGAGCAAATAAGGCTGAGCAGGAACATGAGAGCCATGCTGACATAGCTGTTTACACACTGAAGAGGGAGCTGGCTTGTTGCCTGCTGCTCTGGAGACTTGGGAGGTGGAGCAATGGATTCAAATTGCAGGAAAAGAGACTGTACAGCCCGGAAAAACTCACAACAACCCATTGTACCTAAACATTAGGAGGAACTTTGTGATGTTTAGAGCTATTTGGCAGTGGAACCTGCTGCCGCCTGGGAGTCTGGTGGAGACTCCTTCTCTGGAGGTTTTGAAGCAGAGGCTTGATGGCCGTCTCTCGGGAGGGCTTGGGTTGTGTCTTCCTGCCTGGCAGAAGGGTTGTCTCTTCCTGCTCTAGGATTCCATGATGTGAAACCAAGGATGGAAAATAAGAGCAAGCAACCACCCGGCAGTGGGTTTCAGTCATCTCAGGCCTCTTCTACACTGCTCTATATCCCAGGATCTGATCCCAGATTATCTGGGTAAGTCACCAGCAATTATAAGATCTATCAACTGAAAGGTTGCAAGTTCGAAGCCCTGGGTCGGTCTGAGCTGCTGACTGTCAGCCCAGGTTACTATTTACCTAAGCAGATTGAAAAGAGCTTTAGCTGTAATTAGAGAAATTAGATACCCCTAAAAGAAGGGGAGGTGTTTTACGACGCCATAAAGAAAGAAGATCAGAAAATGCTGGGCAACTGAAAAGGAAGGAGGAAGTCCTGATGGTTCTTCGTCATAGAGGATGGAGCAACTGCACCCCCTGGGGCTGGACACACCTTCTTTGGCACCAAAACAAAAAAAAAACCAGCTGGACACTTAGTCAACAACACTTCCTTTCTGTTCTTTCTGTCTGTGTATTGTCTATACAAAAATGGAATTGAATGTTTGCCGTGTATGTGTGCTGTGATCTGCCCTGAGTCCCCTTTGCGGCGAGAAGGGCGGGATATAAATAAAGTGTTGTTATTATTATTTAAAACACAACAAGATGAGTCCACAGCAGGCAAGGCAGTGTATTGTATTTACTTTTTACTTTTAAGCCACTCTGAGTCCACTTCAGGGTGAGAAGGGCGGCATATAAATGTTGTAAATAAATAAATAAATGTTGTTGTTATTATTATTATCATCCTATCCAAGATTATCTAGCAGTGTAGACTCATATAATCCCATTCAAAGCAGACCCTGGGATAGATCCTGGATGGCCATTTCCTTCTCTAACTTTCATAAATTCATTTTATTAATCGTGTCAGAAGCGAACCAAACAGTTGCATTAAAAAACAAGCAAGCAAGCAAGCAAGCAAGCAAGCAAGCAAGCAAGCAAGCAAACAAAACACAAAGTTTGCAAACTTGGTAGTTGATTAAATGTCCTTTGACCAGTAGCTGCCCACGTGGAGTGCCTCTGGTGTTGCCGCAAGAAGGTCCTCCATCATGCATGTGGCAGGGCTCAGGTGGCATTGCAGTAGGCGGTCTGTGGTTTGCTCTTCTCCGCACTCGCATGTCGTGGATTCCACTTTGTGGCCCCATTTCTTGAGGTTGGCTCTGCATCGCGTGGTGCCAGAGCGCAGTCTGTTCAGCGCCTTCCAAGTCGCCCAGTTTTCTGTGTGCCCAGGGGGGAGTCTCTCATTTGGTATCAGCCATTGGTTGAGGTTCTGGGTTTGAGCCTGCCACTTTTGGACACTCACTTGCTGAGATCTTCCAGCGAGTGTCATAACAATCCATAAACAGTGGGTGGTAGGTTTTTTTGGGCTGCCTGGCCAGGTTCCAGAATCATTCCCTCCTGACGTTTCGCCTGCATCTGTGGCAGACACCCTCAGGGGTTGTGAGGTCTGATGGAAACTAGGAAAATGGGATTTATTTTCCGAATGACAGAGAATGGTCAACCCTCCTGTTTAAGGAGCTCCACTGGCTGCAGTTTATCAGATGGGCCAAAACTAACTAACAAAATGAAGTTCAACAGTGACAAATGCAAGATACTCCACTTAGGCAGGAACAACGAAATGCAAAGATACAGAATGGGGGACAATGCCTGGCTTGAGAGCAGTACGTGTGAAAAAGATCTTGGAGTCCTCGTGGACAACAAGTTAAACATGAGCCAGGAATGTGATGTAGCAGTAAAGAAAGCCAATGGGATATTGGCCTGCATCGATAGGAGCATAGTGTCTAGATCTACGCTCTGGTTACATCCCATCTAGACTACTGCAATGCTCTCTACGTGGGGTTGCCTTTGAAGACGGCCTGGAAGCTCCAATTAGTCCAATGTTCGGCAGCCATGATACTAACAGGAGCGGAGCGCAGGGAGCATACAACTCCTCTGCTGCACCAGCTCCACTGGCTGCCGATCTGCTACCGGCTCAATTCAAAGTGCTGGTGCTGGCCTTTAAAGCCCTAAACGGTTCTGGCCCAACTTACCTATCCGAACGTATCTCGGCCTATCAGCCCACCAGGACCCTAAGATCTTCTGGGGAGGCCCTGCTCTCTATCCCGTCTGCTTCACAGGTGCGGCTGGCGGGGACGAGAGACAGGGCCTTTTCTGTGGTGGCCCCGCGGCTATGGAACGCCCTTCCCATGGAGGTAAGATCAGCCCCCTCATTGATGGTATTCCGAAGAAGATTAAAAACCTGGATGTTCGAGCAGGCATTCGGTTAACTCAGTGCAAGGAATGTAATGATTAAAGGACTGGCAATATGGACGACGAAACTGGATCACGATTTTAGTCAGGAGTTGAATTGGATTGTTTGTTGATATATGTATTGTGTATTATGTTTTTTATGCTTTTAAACTGTATACTGCCGATTGTTATATTTTGTTGTAAACCGCGCTGAGTCGCCGGCTAGGCTGAGAAGCAGCGGTATACAAGTATAGCAAATAAATAATAAATAATAAATCTAGGGAAGTCATGCTCCCCATGCTCTATTCCGCTTTGATTAGACCACACCTGGAATATTGTGTCCAATTCTGGGCACCACAATTCAAGAGAGATATTGACAAGCTGGAATGTGTCCAGAGAGGGCGACTAAAATGATCAAGGGTCTGGAGAACAAGCCCTATGAGGAGCGGCTTAAGGAGCTGGGCATTTTAGCCTGAAGAAGAGAAGGCTGAGAGGAGACATGATAGCCATGTATAAATATGTGAGAGGAAGCCACAGGGAGGAGGGAGCAAGCTTGTTTTCTGCTTCCCTGGAGACTAGACGGAACAATGGCTTCAAACTACAAGAGAGGAGATTCCATCTGAACATGAGGAAGAACGTCCTGACTGTGAGAGCCGTTCAGCAGTGGAACTCTCTGCCCCGGAGTGTGATGGAGGCTCCTTCTTTGGAAGCTTTTAAACAGAGGCTGGATGGCCATCTGTCAGGGGTGATTTGAATGCAATATTCCTGCTTCTTGGCAGAATAGGGTTGGACTGGATGGCCCAGGAGGTCTCTTCCAACTCTTTGATTCTATGAAGCCCTAATCCCATTCTCTTCCGCTTTGTTCAGGCCTCACCTGGAATAACCCTGTGTCCCGTTCTGGGCAAAGCAATTCAAGGAGGAGATGGAAAAGGTGGAAAATATCCAGAGAAGGGCAACCAAAGAAGTAGGTTAGGGAGCTGGGGATGTTCAGCTTGGAGGAAAGAAGGCTGAGCAGGAACATGAGAGCCATGTTGACATATCTGTTTACACACTGAAGAGGGGGCTGGCTTGTGGCCTGCTGCTCTGGAGAGGAAGGAAGGAGGAAGTCCAGACAGCTCTTGGTCATAGAGGATGGAGCAACTGCACCCACTGTGGCTGGACACACCTTCCCTGACGTTTCGCCTGCATTTGTGGCAAGCATCCTGAGAGGTAGTGAGGTCTGTTGGAGCTAGTAAAAAGGGTTTATATACCCGTGGAATGACCCGGGTGGGACAAAGGACTTTTGTCTGCTGGAGCTAGGTGTGAATGTTTCAACTGACCACTGATGCAGGCGAAACGTCAGGAGAAAATGCCTCTAGAACATGGTCATATAGCCCGGAAAAACCTACAACAACCCAGTGATTCTGGCCATGAAAGCCTTTGACAATACATTATTATTATTATTTATATATCTGTGGAATAATGTCTAGGGTGGGAGGAAGAACTCTTGTTTGTTGGAGCTAGGTGTAAATGTTTCCATCGACCACCTTGATTAGCATTTGATGGCCTAACCGTTTTTAGGTGTGGCTTGCTACTGCCTGGGGGGAATCCTTTGTTGAGGGGGGGTTAACTGTCCCAGTTTGTTTCTTGTCTGGAGTTCCCCTGTGTTTGAGTTTTGTTCAGTGTCCATAAACACTGGGAAAGTTAGGCGGAAGAAAGAGAAATGGGAGAATTCCTATATGGAAGCAGAAGTGGGTCGGGAGGAGGGCAGGAAAGGGCTCGGGGGGGGGGGAGGGGAGGAGAGGGCCCAGGGACCCCCAGGGATCCGGGTCCGAATCCTGCTCTCTCTCCTCCGCGGAGGAAGGCAAAGGCCTGGCTGTAAACAACCCCACCAAAGAGGAGAAGTTCTTCTACTCACCGGAGCAAGTCCCCGCCAGGAGAGCAGCCAAGCCCAGGAAGAAAGGGGGACCCCACATCAGGGTCATGCTGCCCCTCCAAGAAGCCATTCTTCGGAGCCACCCAACTACATTCCTTCCTCTTCTCTGCCCAGCGGCTGACTGAGGAAAGGGGAAGAACCAGGATTGGAAAACAGCGTACCCTTCCTCCAATCGCAAAAAAGAGATTCGGTGACGTCATCAGGTGCTGGGGAGACTCTGCCCCGCCACAGGCCGAGCAAAGTCGGGGGAAACGAAAGTAGAAGCAGACTAACAGGAAAAATACGTTTGCTATTCGATCTTGTGTGCTGGCAAAGAGTTGACCTGTAAGCTTGTTCAAAAAAAAAAAAAAAAAGGGGGGGGACCACTTAGAAATGGTAAATTCCTGGGGGAAAGTCCTCCTGGAAGACTGCAGATTATGACCACAAGAGTCCAGGCTCTGGTCCAGTCAGGCTAGATCAGGCCTGGGCCAACTTGGCCTGAGTTTGCCTGAGCTCTGCGAGCGCAGCATTTTTCCAAATGAAGCAGAGAGTGTTTGATGACCCGGGACATCCGTAGGGAGACCAAGGTGCTTGTTTATAAAGCTATTGTCCTCCCAACCCTGCTATATGCCTGCGAGACGTGGACTGTCTACAGACGTCACATGCAACTCCTGGAACGATTCCATCAGCGCTGCCTCTGGAAAATCCTGCAAATCTCTTGGGAAGACAAGCGGACAAACGTCAGCGTTCTGGAAGAAGCAAAGACCACCAGCAACCATGAAAATGAACAAAATCTGGCTACCAGTATTTTTTAAAAAAACTCTAAAATTAGAACAGCACAACAACAGAGAGGAAACAAACAAGGACATCTAATCACCTCTCAACAAAAGATTGCCCCAGGCACTGGCAGGCAATTAAATGCTAATCAAGGTGGTCAGTTGAAATATTCACACCTGGCTCCAGCAGACAAGAGTCCTTTGTCCCACCCTGGTCTTTCCACAGATATATAAACCCATTGTCCTAGTTCCAACAGACCTCACTACCTCTGAGGATGCTCGCCATAGATGCAGGTGAAACGTCAGGAGAAAATGCCTCTAGAACATGGCCATATAGCCCGAAAAAACCTACAACAACCCAAAGACCACCAGCATTGAAGCAATGGTCCTCCACCATCAACTCCACTGGACTGGCCACATTGTCCGGATGCCTGACCACCGTCTTCCAAAGCAGTTTCTCTACTCCGAACTCAAGAATGGAAAATGGCTGTTAGGAATTCTGGGCACCAAAATTGAAGGGAAATATTGACAAGCTGGAATGTGTCCAGAGGAGGGCAACTAAAACGATCAAGGGTCTGGAGAACAAGCCCTATGAGGAGCGGCTTAAAGAGCTGGGCATGTTTAGCCTGAAGAAGAGAAGGCTGAGAGGAGACATGATGAGGGCCATGTATAAACAGAGGCGGTCCTAGGTAATTTTCAACTGTAAGCAAACAGTATTTTGGCGCCCCCCCCCAACCAATCACTGATATATATATTCTGTTTGTTGTGGGAGTTCTGTGTGTCATATTTGGTTCAGTTCCATCATTGGTGGAGTTCAGAATGCTCTTTGATTGTAGGTGAAGTATACATCCCAGTAACTACAACTCGCATATGTCAAGGTCTATTTTCCCCCAAGAGCGCCTCAAGAGCGCCCCTGGGTAAATCAACTATACTGCAGATGCTTACTTTGCGTAATGGGTTGAGCCGCCCCTGTGTATAAATATGTGAAAGTGATGGCGTGAGCCCCCGCCATGTAATTGGTCTGCACTGCGGCAGGGAGTTCCGCAGTTCCCAGTGGTCGCCAATGGAGAAAACGGATGAAACGTGCCCCAGCCAGCAGCTCAAAGCAAAGGACTGCATGAAGTTTTTCTTTCACTTTCCCCTCTCCCTTTTCTTTGTAACAAAATCCCCCAATAAAGCACTTAAAGCTTGAAACTTTAAATCTTTTCCGCTTGTTACTTTGTGTCCCCTTTACTGCCTGAAACTTTGCTAACACAAAATAAACCTTTTTCCGAGCTCCGGGGAACCGTGAGCTCACTGGGGATGCCTTCCTGGCTTCCCCAGGCCCCCGAATTTGTGTTAGTTCAAAACGCGGTTACGGAGGTTTTTTCTAATGGGCCCCTCTATCCGCCAAAACAACAACATGGCGGATCGGGCCCGTTCAAATTTTATATTTTTCTACACTAAATTCTAAGACTAACTGCTATCTTGGTTTTCTCATTTTGGACTCCTGCACTCGTGAAATAATTGTTTTTGTTTAATTATTAAATCTGGCCGAGTCACCAGCTGATTGTCAAAATTTCGCCGGCTTTCCGCATTGCTCCGTTCTGCTTACGGCCGCTTGCTCCAGCATGGTTCCAGCCGCCTGCGATCCACCGCCGTCGCCCAAGGGAAAGCCTTGGAAGTGGGGGATTGGGCAGGGAGGCCCGATCCCCGGTTGGGAGCGCTAGTTCCACCAAGGACGGGACCGTGGAACGTAGCTCCCCCTTCAGCTCCAGCTCCTGCTTCCTGGAAGGACTGATCTTCTGCTGGCCAGCCTGAACCATGGGCTGGCCCATGCCTCCAAAACCTTTCCATCTGGACTTTTGGGATTTCTAGTCTTTCTTTCCTCTTTTATGAAATAAAATAAAAATAAAATCTTTTCTTAACTATGATGAACTGGGATGGGTGGTGGGTTGTGAGACTATGAAATGCCTGTATATTAGTGATGCCTGTATTCTATGAATATGAGATATGTGACCCTCATGAACTCCCCTGTATCCTCACCCCTTGACCCTTTGTCCCGAAAAACCGGCGTGACCAGGAATTTGCCTGAGGAAAGGGCTCAAGCCTCTTTCCCCAATTACCCATTGATTACTCATTATGCATGGACAATGCTGCTGGCCCCCCGATTTCGTCATCGGAGCAAGGCCAACGAAGGAAGGAAGGTCAGCAGGGCCCCGGAAGAAAAGACTGATTAAATCACCCAGAAATTGTTGATCCCCCGGGCTGGTCCGATTTCGATCCAGTTATTCAAATTCCTTGCCAGAACTCATCAAGGACAGGAAAGCTTTTGTTTGCCAAACATCACCCTCTTCCCGCCTTGGACAATAGCCCGCATTCCAGCGGGCAGGAAAGTCCAAATCCCATCATCTTTCCCCCATTGTCCGCAGCTGTCCTGCCTCCTCGCTCCTGATTGGCCAGGACCCAGGAAGCGAGCGGAGGGCGCCCATTGGCCCTCCCGAGGCAAGGGTGCGCTCCCATTGGCTCCTGACAGGGGAGGGCGGGATAACTTCCTCCCAGCTGTTCCAGCCTCAGCCAATCAGCGTGAAGCCGGCTGACAGGGGGCGGGCAGGATTTTCAAACTGCTTTCTTTTGTTCTAAACTGTATAAAAATGCCTGGAAATCCTTGTACTGCATGCTTGCAGTGGAATGATTCCTGTAACGCATCCATTCAGCTGAATCGCAAATAAACGCCTCGGTCGCTGGACTCCTTTCGCCTCTGGTGAGCTTACTTTATTTTTAAATATTTTTTGGCGCTCTTGGATTGGCTTCCGGAAGATCTCACCAAGGTATCCAGGACCCTCTTTGGTGCGGTCCTTGGGCTCTCCTCCCTGGAGAGACCCCCTAAAAGAGCTCGATATCAAAAGGATGCCATAAGGAAGAGGGAGCAAGCTTCCTTTCTGCTTCTCTGGAGACTAGGACGCAGTGGAAGAATGGCTTCAAACTACAAGAAAGGAGATTCCATCTGAACATGAGGAAGAACTTCCTGACTGTGAGAGCCGTTCAGCAGTGGAACTCTCTGCCCCGGGGTGTGGTGGAGGCTCCTTCTTTGGAGGCTTTTAAGCAGAGGCTGGATGGCCATCTGTCAGGGGTGCTTTGACTGCAATATTCCTGCTTTTTTGGCAGAATGGGGTTGGTCTGGATGGCTCATGGGGTCTTTTTCAACTCTAGGATTGTATGATTCTATGATTGCTGGGTTATTGTGAGTTTTCTGGGTTATCTGGCCATGTTCTAGAAGCATTCTCTCCTGATGTTTCGCCCGCACCTATGGCAGGCATCCTCAGAGCTTGTGAGGTCTGTCGGGAACCAGGAAAAATTGGGTTTATATACCTGTGGAATGAGGTCCAGGGTGGGAAAAAGAACTCTTGTCTGTTTGAGCCAAATGGGAATGATGCAATTGGCCATCTTGACTAGCATTGGATGGCTTTGTAGCTTCAAAGCCTGGCTGGTCGCTGCCTAGGTCTCTTCCAACCAGGCCCGTAGCCAGGATTTTGATTCGGGCGGGGGGGGGGGGGGGGGGCTGAGTCTGAGTAAAAGAGGGTCTACCCTAGCAAACCTTTTGTATTGTTACCCCAATACCCCCATGCATATGGGATATATTGAGTATGGTGATCAGATCATGATATGAATAAACATAACAGTTTAAATAACGTACCAGTAAGGACTTCTTGCGGGGGGGCGTAAGCCCCTCCCCCCCCCCCCCCGGGCTACATGCCTGCTTCCAACTCTATGATTCTTTATGAAAACACCTGGAGGGAGGGAGGGCCAGAAAACCCAGAGGAGTTTGACGTGTTCATTCTCTGTAACTTTTTCCAGCTTGTGATCCCACCAGTTCTTTGTCGCAGGTAGATGGTATTTGTGGCACAAGTTAAAACGAATCATCTGAGCAACTGTGTTATTATTATTATTATTATTATTATTATTATTATTAGAAACACAACAAGATGACTCCACAGCAGACACTCTGCTGGCTGTTGAATTGGATCACACGTTGGACACTTCCCAAGTGTCTACGACTGTGTGATGTATTGGCAAATAATGCGTGCAGATCCCAGTAAGGTGGCCTTTGGCAGCTGGCAGATGGTAATTTTGTCAGCGCTGATTGTGTTTAAGTGCAGGCCAAGGTCTTTAGGCACTGCACCCAGTGTGCCCATCACCACTGGGACCACCTTTACTAGTTTGTGCCAGAGTCTTTGCAGTTCAATTTTTAAATCCTCATATCGTGTCAGCTTTTCCCGTTGTTTCTCTGCAACCCTGCTGTCACCTGGGATTGCGACATTGACGATCCATACTTTGTTTTTAACACAATTGTGAGGTCAGGAGTCTTGTGCTCCAAAACTCT